TAAATGCCATGTTTGTACTTTATCTAACATCTTCTCTTTCAGTAGTCTTGTTTTTTTTATATCATGTGATTGTTTGTGTGTCCCCTTTCCTCTTCTTTGCTTAACACAATTATCTTGTGTTAAGGATCTCAAAGATTTCATGAGACAAGCTGGGGAAGTAACGTTTGCGGATGCACACCGACCTAAATTAAATGAAGGGTATGTACTGGAAATTGTGAAAGTCTTTAAAAATATCCTGAAAATTTTACTGTGAACTTAGTGTTGAGCACTTAAAATTAGAGTATGTTATAATGTAGAGATTCTCCAGGGACAATTTTGCCGCCTCCCCTCGCCCCCACACACCTTTGGCAGTGTCTGGAGACATGTTTGATTCTCACAACTGGTTGAGGGAGGATGCTGTTGGCATCTAGTCGCTAGGGGCTAGGCATCCTGCTAAGCATCCCACAATGCATAGGGAACCCTCCCCAACAATTAATTGGCTCAAAGTATAACAGTGCCAAAACTTTGCTCTTTTAATACTGCATTATGCAGAAATGAGACTCAGTAGTGATAGCAAAAGTGAACATAGAAACGACTTAACCTAGACTGCTATGTGCAATGTGTGTGACTACAGGATGTGTATACTTTAAAAGTGGCTTTTTTTCCATTTTAGGGTGGTTGAGTTTGCCTCTTATGGTGACTTAAAGAATGCTATTGAAAAACTTTCTGGAAAGGAAATAAATGGGAGAAAAATAAAATTAATTGAAGGCAGCAAAAGGCACAGGTATTTCTAATTTTTAAGTCAAAAGTTGTATTTAATGGGTTTGCTGTAGAGTCTTACCTAGGCTGATTTCTTCTCATTTTTCATAGTAGGTCAAGAAGCAGGTCTCGATCCCGGACCAGAAGTTCCTCTAGGTCTCGTAGCCGATCCCGTTCCCGTAGTCGCAAATCTTACAGCCGGTCAAGAAGCAGGAGCAGGAGCCGGAGCCGGAGCAAGTCCCGTTCTGTTAGTAGGTCTCCCATGCCTGAGAAGAGCCAGAAACGTGGTTCTTCAAGTAGATCTAAGTCTCCAGCATCTGTGGATCGTCAGCGGTCCCGGTCCCGATCAAGGTCCAGATCAGTTGACAGTGGCAATTAAACTGTAAATAACTTGCCCTGGGGGCCTTTTTTTAAAAAACAAAAACTACAAAAATTCCCAAACCATACTTGCTAAAAATTCTGGTAAGTATGTGCTTTTCTGTGGGGGTGGGATTTGGAAGGGGGGTTGGGTTGGGCTGGATATCTTTGTAGATGTGGACCACCAAGGGGTTGTTGAAAACTAATTGTATTAAATGTCTTTTGATAAGCCTTATGCTCACATTTTTGTGAATGTCTGAAGTATATAGTTTGTGTATATTGACAGAGCTCTTTTATAACTAAAGCAAATTTAATTTTTTTGTACTAGAAAAAAATTTGAACATTTTAGTTCCTGGTTATTAAAATATGTTAATTCAGAATTAGTTTAATGCGTCAATTAAACTAATTAATAGCTTTGGACACTTAAAAGAGCTCTAAATTTGCTTGTACATAAAGGCTTAATTTGTTTTCCTTGTTAGGGTCAAGGGTGTCCTTCACTCTTTAACAGCTGCGGGACAGACACATTAAAGCAGCTGTTTGTTATTGATAATAAAATACTATAAAACTCCTTTTGTTTGTTTGTCTGGAGAAGTCCTATGCTGTTTACTTCTCATCCTTATCATCATACAGTACATTTAAAACACCAAACACATCCAGAATCCTGGAGTCCTTATGGTCTCTTTTTAAAAAGTGTTTTTGATGTCTCCAGGCTATTCAAAATACAAAGATGTAAGCGAATGCTAAAATCACAATTGAGTTTTCTTTGTGTCCATGGCCCCCCCAACCCCCCATATGTTTCCTTTATCTCCTGACTTTATTGGCATCAGGTTACTTAGAGTCAAGAGGAGGATAGTGTGGGAAGCAGTGTTTCTTGACTACCTTAAAGGTTATGACGGGTTTTTTTGTTTTTGAGATGGAGTTTTGCTCTTGCTGCCCAGGCTGGAGTGCAATGGCGCGATCTCAGCTCACTGCAACCTCTGCCTCCCAGGTTCAAGTGATTCTCCTGCTTCAGGCTCCCAGGTAGCAGAGATTACAGACATGTGCCACAATGCGCAGCTAATTTTGTGTTTTTAGTAGAGATGGGGGTTTCACCCTGTTGGCCAGGCTGGTTTTGAACTCCTTACCTCAGGTGATCCACCTGCCTGGCCTCCCAAAGTGCTGGAATTACAGCCATGATCCACTGTGCCCAGCCTTGTTTTTGTTTTTTTGAGGCAGGATCTTGTTCTGTTGTCTAGGCAGGAAGGGGTGTGATCAGTGGTCACTGCAGCCTTGACGTCCTGGGCTCAGGCAGTCGTCCTGCCTTTGCATCCTGAGTAAGGGCTACAGGTGTCCACCACTGCGTGTGGCTAATGTTTTTCTAGAGACAGGGTCTTGCTATGTTGCTCTGGCTGGTCTTGAACTGGACTCAAGTGATCTTCTAACTTGGCCTCCCAAAGTGCTGGGATTATAGGTGTGAACTGCTGTGTCCAGTTGTGATGCAGTTTTGGTGGTCGGGTAACATGAATGCTTAAGGGACTTTGACGTGGTACTTTTTGTCTTGAGATATGTATGGGATAGTACATGTTTAAGGGAAAACAATAGTGTAAAATGCCTAAGGTCCTATATCCATATTAACCTTAGACTTCTATATTTGAGCTTTCAAGCCCTGCCTTAGATGTATAGAAAAGGAGCTATATTATATTAATACAGGAGTCTCAAGACACTTAGATATATTCTTAGTTCTGTGGGGGCTAGACTACATAAATACTGGGAAACAGTGAATAACATCTATGTAGCTTCTGATGGTAATAGCCAGGCACTGTTTTAAGTGCCGTTATCTCTGTATGGACTGAATCTAATACCGTTTTACTGGTGGGAATTCAGGAATTCTTCAAAGAAGGGATGGATTGGTATTAAAATCCAGGAAGTCTGATTCTAAGACCCCCATGCTACACTCACTGTTGACAAAGATTTTTGCCTCTAGCCTTCCAGGGAATTGGAAAACGGCAGAATTAGAAGCACTAGAAAAACGTAGCTTTTAGCTTCCCGAAAGCGTGGGGATTGGGAAGTGGGAATCTCCATTTGGGAGAATTGAAAGGTTTTTGATATCCTTAATTTTTAAAAGGTCACTCCCTGGCTGTTTCTAAGTCTAGAACAGGCTATGGACGTTTAAAGCTGCTAATTGTAATAAGAGGCTGAGTTTAGGAGTTGGTATATACCTGTTGAATTAGTTGAGGGAACCAGGTTTATTTTAATAAACGGTGGATTCTAGATTTTCTCAGTGTCTCTGAAGGCAGTACTTGGTCAGCCTGAAGTTGCTATCAAAAGCAACTTTTCCCCCTTGGGCTTTTAGAACGTGCTTCTCAGGGCAGTGTGGTATGTTGATGTTTTTCCTGTGTACCTCTAAATAATCAGACAAACCTTTTTTTTTTTGAGATGGTGTCTTACTCTGTTGCCCAGTTTGGGCGGTCTTGGCTCACTGCAGCCTCTGCCTCCTGGGTTCAAGCGATTCTCTTGCCTCAGCCCCCCGGGTAGCTGGGATTACAGGCACCCACCCCCATGCCCAGCTATTTTTTTTTTTTTGTATTTTTAGTAGAGACTGGGTTTTATCCTGTTGGCCAGGCTGATCTCAAACTCCTGACCTCAAGTGATAAACCCATCTCAGCCTCCCAAAGTGCTAGGTTTACAGGCATGAGCCACTCTGCCAGTCTTTATTTTTTTAATTTTTTTTTTTTTCTTGAGACAGGGTCTTGCTTGGTCACCCAGGCTAGAGTGCAGTGGTGACTCACTGCAACCTGCACTTCCCAGTCTCAAGTGATTCTCATGTCTCAGCCTCCCAGTAGCTGGAATTACAGGCGCCCACCACCACGTCTGGCTGATTTTTGTATTTTTAGTAGAGACGAGGTTTGACCATGTTGGCCAAGCTGGTCTTGAACTCCTGACTTCAAATGATCTATCTGCCTACCTTGGCCTCCCAAGTGTTGGGATTACAGGAGTGAGCCACTGTGCCCAGTCAAGACTTAAGCTACTTTTAATCTTGTGTTAGGGAATACAATAAATTCCTTCTTTTGAAAAAATGACAGGGAGATAACGATTATGTCTCAAAAAGGGACTCGCAAAACCAGGCTTGAGATATGAGGAGTGTGGATGTAATCCTAAGGAAAGGTTTAGGACCTGCCTTTGTAGGGCACAGTTTAACCTTTGTTTTCTATGTTAATTTCATCTTTATTCCTTACTTTTTTTTTTTTTTTGAGACGGGATCTTGCTCTGTCGCTAGGCTGGATGGAGCGCAGTGGCGCTCTGTCGGCTCACTGCAACCTCTGTCTCTGGGGTTCAAGCGATTCTTCTGCCTCAGCCTCCTGAATAGCTGGGACTACAGGCGTGTGTCACCATGCCTGGCTAATTTTTGTGTTTTTAGTAGAGATGGGGTTTCACCATGTTGGCCGGGATGGTCTCCATCTCTTGACCTCATGATCTGCCCACCTCGGCCTCCCAGAATGCTGGGATTACAGGTGTGAACTACTGCGTCTGGCCATGTTTATTCCTTTCTAAGGGCAGTTTGAGGCCAACCCTATCTTCAGAAGCTAAACAAATGCGTTCTTATATAACTTGTATGTAACCAAGTCTCCTAGCAGATGATGTTGGTTAGATAATAGAGAAAACAATTTGAACAGTTAGGTATATATGGATATAATTAGTAAAAATGATAGCAGCCTTTTTAAAAACTGCTTTTTTAAGAGGATGTTAGTGACCCAAATCTGTGATTCTCGTTTTGGTGTTGGGAGTATTTGTTAGTCCTGCACATTTGCCAAACTGACACCTGAAAACTATATTGTCTTGGTTTCATTTGTACCTGACCATACAAAATGATAAAAATCCCAAGTAACTAAGCATGATTGACTTTTTGTAAGTGTTAATATTCGTTGTTAATCATTTACTTGATCTTTATTTGCATATGATAAACAGTTTAAATTTTATTAGAGACAATTTGAAATTTGTGAATTCTAGGTATTTGAACATTTTTCTTTGAATTGGGAAACCACTCCTTTAGTTTGCTGTACCCAGTTTTGGGGGTGCTTTGTGTTAAAACCCAGTATCTACTGAACTTAAAAAAGAGATTCTTAGGTGACATTGTGTTACTGTATGTGTTTGTTTCCTGGTTTTTCCTTGTCAAATGTTTTTCTCCTCTACTAACATGATGCATTTGCCCAGTTTTTTCATTTCATTAGCTATTTTTGAGTTTGTTTTGCCTAATTGCATCTTACTGTGTTCACTTTTGCATACTTAATGTCAAATTTGACTTTTCGGGAGCGTCATCCCAATCATGTCAAAAGGGAAGGAATGGGATCTGAATTTTTTAGATTAGAACTTCTGAAGTCTAATTCTACAGCATTCTTGAACATTTATTTCTCTTTTGGGTCACAAAACTTGGAATGGGATTTGGGTATTTGAGTAATGGGTTAAACATATATATTGATTAGTTCAGGAATTGAGTAACTTAAGATGATTATCAGGCACTGTTTCAGAGATCCTGGCAAGAGGCAGATTTGGTTTCTGGTTTCATAGAATTTCCAGTCACTAAACAAGTCTTTGAAATAAGTAGCAAATTCTAAGTTGGGGATAGTTGAGGCTTCTTGGGCAGACACCCTGTCTGTGTTCCCGGCCAAGGCTTGATGAGATTCTGATAGATGTACTGGAAATGCTGGAGAGAGACTCAGGCAAGACTGGTGTTTTTGCTGCTCTCTGTAGTTGACCAGACTGGCTTTCAGAATTGCTTTGGGACCAGAATCCAGGCCACCAGGGGAAGGGCTAGGCTGTGCAAGGGGAGCAGTCCTCCCCTTTGTAGGTGCCATTTCCCAGAGCTCCTGGAATTGTTTCTTCAGTTGTGGCAGCAGTGTAGATCATTTTTGTTTTATCTGTAAAGTTAAGGGTCATAGATGTAGAGACAGAACAAGAGGAGTGAACAATGAACCTTGTTTAATCTGGAAAGTACAAGAATACCAACTCAGCCCTAGGGTGTGCTATGTATATATTTTCCATCTCTGTCATCTCTCCGGTGGTTTACTCTTTAAACTCACTTTCCCCTCAATCTCCCTAATGGTAGTAGTAGTAATAAAAGTCTTAATGAATTAGACTGTTGAGTCTTCATCATCACTTCACCTCTAACTTCTCTGTACATAACAGTAAAACAACAGGGGAGACGAGTTTATGTATGCAAGGACTGTGTCGCATTCAGGGAATGAGGAGGCAGGGAGGAAAGATCTTTGAGAAAGTCTAACCAAGAGAGTTTCCAGTTCTTCCCGCCAACACCCAATTGTTCTGCCTCTTTTCTTGCCCATTGTGTAGGTGGTGATGCAAATTTGAAGATAGCTTTGATTCCTGCACCTTTCTATACAGATGGGAGAGTTCTCTATACAGAGTGCTTCCATCTGTATAGAAAGGTACAGGAATCAAAAGTATAAAAACTTGACAGATTCTTTCCCCTGAGAATAGCTTCTTGGGGCCATTAGGTCCAAAGAAATAAGTTGCTTTGATTTAGTGTTTCCACTGGGGTCTTCTGAGATACATTGTGAGGAAAGTTCTTTATAAGTCTTGAGAGCTAAAGATCCGTAGAGTATTGTCCTTTGAGGTCACTCCAGGCCTTTCTGGCACTAAAACCTCAAATCTGGGAACTTGGTTGGTCTAGAAACTTCTGTGCACTTTTTGTAAGAGGGCAGCAAATCTCTTGGTGTTCCTTTCAGGTAAGCATCAGACTAGATTCTTTCTCACAACTCCACTGTAGCTTTGAACCAAAGCTTCAAAAATGGTTCTAGAGTATGGTCAGCCTGTACTTGTTTCCTGTTGGCTGCTTGGCAACCTAATTACATCTTAGCTAACTGCAAAGGGAAAGAGAATTGGTGTTTGCTAGTATAATATAACAGATTCCAACAGGGAAAGTTGTGTATTTCTCCTAGGGTGTAAATCACAGTCCCTAGGGTCTAGACAGGGTTTTGAAGGGGACTTCAATTCATGGATTTGAAGGGACAGTTGAAGGATTTGGAAAGTACTTAGGAAGAATATACTCATGTTTAGAGTTAGTTATAATGAAGTGTGTTATAAAGTAGGTTTGGATGTTTGAATGTCCTGTATTTTTTTTTTTTTTTAAATTGGTGTTAAAGTACACTTTGAGGAAGACACTCTGGTCTCTGGTCTGTCTTGAGGTTCAGTTTTATTTTGAAAGGTAATGCTCTGAGCATTTTAGAGAAGAGATGCTATGTTAACCCCATAGTGATCAGAGTAAAGTATAAATCATATTAATCAAGTTTATTATGGAGGTAGTCACTGTTTTAACAATCTTATGCTTAAGTTTCCTTTATTGTGTAACTGGAGTTGAGGAATCTTTTTTTTTTTTTTCTTTATTCTGGGTTATATTAGGCTGCAATGCTTTCATATGTTTTACCTCATATGGGGGTGCCAGTGGTGCTGTGGCTCTGACCTGGTTCCAGGAAATGAGAACCTAGTCCTGAGAAATGGAAACTTCCCCAACTCTTGTGAGTAGAGGTCTTTCACACAACTAATAATCTCAGTTGTTCAAGGCAGTTCTGTCCTATGATGTTTCCCTACTGAGACAAAGCAGCCCAAATTCCTTCAGTTTTATGAGGTAAACTGCATCCACAATTTCATTCTCCCAGCTAGAAGGAAGAAATGGAGTGCAGTTGATGGAAGTAGCCTTGGATCTTTAAAGCTTCTTGGATGCTTCTTGGGGCTACCTGGTTCTTAGTGGCTTGATAAAAGCTAAAGCCCTATCCAAAAAGTCCCTACTAGAAACTTGCTTGTTGGCAGGCTCAGGTCCAATACTGGAGCAGAACTTGAGGTGGGGATCATTCAGTACTCACCCTTGGGAGTCTTGAATTTCTCATAGCACCGAAACATGGCAATGAGGAGAAGCCCTTCTCCAAGCTGGAAAATCATGTAGAGGAGGGGAAAGAAGAAAAGTGGTCCAATGACCTCAGGGGGAAAGGCCACATTGAGGATGGTGGAACACAGTTGGACATTTTGGCATCCGGTCTCCATGCTGACAGTGCGTCGGCACCTGTGTTGGTGAAGAAAACGCCACATACACTCGGAAGGAACTGGAGGGAGCAACTTTGTCCCAGTGCCGCTACCAAGGAGTTTGTCAGCAGTTGGAATCTAGACCCTGGACAGGGGTACTTTGCTGTTGCTATTGGTGTTTGGATACCTTTGGTGTCTGGCTTTTTAATCCGTTCAATACCTTTCCTCAATTTTTTTCAAGTCTCTTGTCCAGTTAGTCAAGTTTCTTGTCCAGTTAGTGCATCTGAACATATTGCCAGGAAAATGCCTTGCCCAGATTTCAGGTTCCTAGCTTGTTATTCTTTTCCTGAAAGACTAGGACAAGAATGAAGCCCATGGGACAGTGGGACCTAAAATAATACTATTTCCAGGTGTGTGGTGGCTCACGCCTGTAATCCTGGCACTTTGGAAGGCTGAGGCAGTTGGATTACTTGAGCTCATTAGTTCAAAACTAGCCTGGGCAACATGGTAAAACCCCATCGCTAGAAAAGATAAATCAGCTGGGCATGGTGGCTTGTGCCTGTAGTTCCAGTTACTTGGGGGACTGAGGCAGGAGGATCACTTAAGCCCAGGAGGTTGAGGCTACAACGAATCGAGAATGTGCTACTGCCCTCCAGCCTGGGAAACAGTGAGACCCTTTCTTAAAAAAAAAAAATACCTACCGTCCATTGAGGCAGAAGAGAGCAGAGAGAACATAACCGAGCAGAAAGCCAATAAAAGGCATCAGGGAGGAGGTGGCAATCAAGAGTGGTGTCATGGCAAACATGATGCTCTTGCCCACATTGATGGCAGAGAGAACTGTGACGGCCACACTGCACAAGAGAATGATGATCATCCCTCCCTGGGAATGAAGACAAGAAGAAAAGGCAATTAGAAGAGTTGGGGATAGAAAGGAACAGAGAGGAGGGAAGCACAGGTAGAAATTGGAGGTGGGAAACATTGCAATAAAACACGAAGTGGAAGGGAATATGAAAGACCTTTATCATCTTTTTGGATTTCTTTTTTTAAATTATTAATATTAGAGACAGGGTCTCACTGTGTTGCCCAGGCTCGTATTAAACTCTCGGACTCTGGTGGTCCTCCTGCCTTGGCCTCCCAAAGTGCCGGGATTACAGGTGTGAGCCACTGCACCCAACCCATCTTTTTAGATTTCTTATCAGTAGCTAGGAAGCCTGGGGACAGCTGATTAACACTTTGATTATTACAAACTCAACCAAGCACAGTTTCTGCTTTTGACACATCTCTAGATAGCAAACTGAGTGAAGTGTTATATGAGGCTATTCAGGCCTCCTGCAAAATGCATATATTAAAAGTTTCAAAGTATTTTTGGAACTTATATACACATTCCTACAGTACTGTCATTGTTCCACATACTTTGAAACTCATTAGAACTTGTCATACATATTTGTCTCAAATACCTTTATTACAGATAGGGATTTTATCCATTTTAGGATCAATTTGACTTCTGGAAATTGCCAAGAGTCATTTGAAACAAAGCTGGTCAAGGTAGATCAAGCCCGTAAATATGGTTTTAAACCCAAAATGATGTCTAATAATAAGGGGATAAACCTACTTTCTTGAGTGATCTGCAAATTGAATATGAAGGAAGTTCCCAAAATAACTTTCAGAAATGTCTTGGGTGATAACAACAATATTTATGAAGGAAGTTCCCAAAATAACTTTCAGAAATGTCTTGGGTGATAACAACATCATTGGAAACTACGTGGGTCTACTCTGAATGAAATTATGGGATTTTTCATTGTGCAACATAGGATGCAACCTTTCAAAGTGCACCTCCGTGCACTTTGTACTTTCCAGTGTGCATTTTAGAGAATTGCATGCTCCAAAATGATAAACAGGTATGTGTAAATTTAAGACTGTCCCTTTTATCTCCTTTGCAAATGTTTCTCAAACATACCATGTTATTTTGTAATAGTTATATGTGTTGGTTCACTTTTTGGTTCATTCACGTGTTGCATTTTATATTTCCTAGTAACATTTAAAAAAGTGTGGTAAAATATGCATAGCAAAGTTTGCTGTTTTAATCACTTTTGAGTGCACGGTTCAGTGGCATTAAGTACATTCATAGTGTCCTAATGACATTTTAACATTTGTGTTGCTCACATTTCAGCTGCACAGCTTTGTGTTTCTGTTTTTAATGCTTGTTGCAACTGATACGATCGTATAAAACATCACCTATACCAATTAGTGGTCCTATCCCAGCATAGGAAGGACTTTCACACATCTCTTCAATAACCATGTGCTTCAAGTTTTATTAAAAGTCTTATTAGCTAATGAGCTTCTCAGTTTACCTTTGCATTTTTAGTTGATTTCCCCTTTGGGATTTCTGTCTTTCGAATTTGCCCTCCACGCAACAGTCAAATAGTTCTTATCTCCATCAAGAGTGTAGTGGATAATTTAGGAGGCACTGGGCTACAGGAATTGTCCATGAATCCTGAAGCCCTATTCCTCTGTATAGGCATTCACTCTTATTCTCTCACTCATGTTCTCTGACTCTTGGGGGCTGCACAGTTGTGGTTATGAGCACAGACTTTGATATGATCCAGGTGGGAAAGCTGGCTCTGCTAGTCTCCAGGTGTGTGAGCTTTGGGGAGTCACTCAACCTGAGTGAGGTTGACAGCATAGGACCTGGCATATAAGAAGCATTCACTAAACTGTAACTCCTATTATTACTCAAAGGGGAGGAATGTAACATTCTAGAGTTTCATCACTCTCACCGCTGCCATCTCTGGAAATTTATCCTGTCTACAACCCCTGCTGAGACAAGTGGCCCTCGGTAGTTGCTTCTCCATAGGCCACCATGTTTGGTACCACCTGACTTCATTGCCCTGCTCACAATTGGGATGAGTGTCCATTAATAAGCAGCCAATCCATTGGCTTACCAGTGACACATGAGATGACATGTCCACATGCTACCCACAAAGGTGGCCTGCACAGGCTGGTGAGCAGTAGAAATAATCAGTTTCTCTCACTTAGGAAGTTTGCAGGATTACAGAGAGGGAAGCAATAGCAGGGGCAAGTGTCAAAACACACAGAGGCCTGGGAGCAACAGAAGCCACAAGGTGGCAGAAACTATAAGACAAAGGAGAGTTAGGGGTCAGTTCAGTAGCAGCAGGTGTGGGAAATGCATGAGTAGAGTGTTGAGTCAATGAAATGGTGGGATCCTTATTAAAGAATAGTGGATGGCTTATGGTGAAAGTGGCTCCTGGACTGTCATTCTCAGATTCATCAGCCTTCTAACCACATAGCCTTAAGTTAATTTCTTGAATTGCCTTTCAAAATGAGCATCCCTGAAATTGTATCTTGGTATATCTAAATGTGACCTTCCACCAGCGAATGCAACTGGTTGAACCCAGTGTGAGCAGATACCTGCTGCCAGAGCTAGTTATTGAAAGTTGGGTTATTTTGATTTGCAAGGTCCTAGGAGGGTTAAGTGTGCAAAGAGGCCAGGACAATCATTTGTTCATTTTCCAGTGTGGCACTCACTATATTATTTATGGGACAGGGTGACAAAGGATGAACATAGTCCTCAAAGAGCCATAGAAACAAGGGAACCCACATGTTCGTCTCTGCATCCTCACAGGAGTGATTCCAGTTTTGGAAAATAGGAAAATCAGTGTAGCTGTTGACTTTGTGGTTGTTTAACCCTGGAGGTTTAGCCAGGGACAAAATGGGTCCAGGGCATGCCTGGGTTTTTTAGATCACCTTTTATGTAGTCCCTTATTACTAGTCTCTGTCTTTCTAGCCAAGGTATTTCTTAGCCCTTTTAATGTTCTCTGGCTTCATTTTGACTTCATTTCCTCTTTGGCATTGAGTAGTGGATGTGCAACACAACAGGAACAGAGACTGGTTGAGATAATCCTGGCTCTGCCAAGTACCTTTTCCGGGCCTCAGTTACTCTATCTGCAAATTGAGAATAAGGCAGGAGACTGAACTTCATCTTAAAGGCTTCTCCAGTTTTAAAATCTGAGATTCCACTTTTTGCAACCTCAGAGAAACATTTCTAAAGCTACTCTGAGGTAGAAAGGAGACATGCTCTTGCATCAGTTGTCATTAGCACTGTGATTTGGTATTCTGGTCCCCAGTTTCCCACCTATAAAACGGGAGGGTAGAGTAGCATTAAATGATAGTAGTGGTCACTTCACATTTTAATATTCTTTATATTTTATATGCATTTCTTTAAGATCGTTTGTGGGTGTATAGGATTTTTAAAAAAGCAATCTTATGCACCCTACAAACTACCTTAAAGAAATGAAATGATGCACACAAACATGTTTCTCTGTGTATGTTGTTTTTCTGCTGGTGTGTGGAAGAGCAGCAGACGGGACTTGCCTTTCATTCCTTTATTTATTCTCAGGCATTGGCTATGGGGGCACTGTGATAGGTGCTGTGGATTCAGTGTTAATTAAGACATAGCCTTATGGTCTTGCTTCTTGAGAAATAAGTGGGGAATAAACATGAACAGGTATTTTTAATGCAGTATAATAATTTCTACAGGGGTTGGCTGGAGTGTTGGGTGCTGTGGGAATGAATAGGACAAGCATCCTACTCAGGCTTAAGAGGTTTAAGGAAGGCTTCCTGGAGGAGGCGCTATTTGTGTTGAGACTTAAAGGATGAGTGGGAGTGACCCAGTGAAAGATGGTGAGTGGGGTGAGAATTGGGAAGAAGAGTGTTTCAGGTGAAGGGAAGGGCATGTGCAAAGAGAAAAGAGCTGAGACTGGTAAGGTCAATTGAGACCAAATCTCAATTTGATTTGGTGCCACATTAAGAAGTTTAAACTCTATCCTAGGGGGAAGGAGCCAATGAGAGGCTTTAAGCAGTGGAGAGACATGATAGAGTTTGTACTTTACATCTTCACCCTCAGGTTAAAACTGCGTGAGGAGGTTGGATGAGAAGGCCATTTGAGTTGTCTAGTGAGAGGTAAGGATGGAGAGGAATGAATGGATTCCAGCAACAGAAGGTGGAATAGACGGTCATTAATTAGATAGGTGTGAGTGGTGAGGGAGAAGGGAACGTTGAGAATGACTTCCAGTTTCCGGTTGAGGCCATTGGGCACACACACAGTGCCACTGACTGAGATAACCACACAGGGGGAGGAGATGACTTATTTAACATATATTGAGTTTTAAATGCCCGAGCTATATTCAGATAGAAAGATCGGTAGATAATAAATGGATTCTGGAGTCAGGAGAGAGTTGAGGTCGGATGACGCTGTTCTGAAAGTCTCAGCTTGCAGATGGTAATTGCAGACCTGAGAGGGATCAGATCCTGGGCTAGGAGAGGTCTGGTGAGAAAGGCAGAAAGCTTGATCTGAATGCAGAGAAGTGCCTTTGACCAGAGGAACTCATAAGGGAGTCCGAAGGAGGTCACAAGAGGCAGGAGGAAAGCAGCAGAGCTTAGAGTCACTAAAGCTGACAGAGAAGGCTTTTGAGGAGGCAGTGGTCAATTATGTCCAATGCTGCTAGAAGGTCAAGAAAGGATTGAGAAATGTCCATTGGATTTGGCAGAGAAAGTGGAGCAGGTGGTCATCAAGATGCTGGGTGGATGGGAGACCAAGGAGGAGAGAAGAGAGGGATTCAAATAATGGAAACGAATGGCTGAGGGCCTGGTCACTCGTGAGAAAGCTCTGGCGGTGGCATGGGGGAAATGGAAGATGTCTGAGAGGCAGCGATTGACAGAGAGAGAGAGAGAGAGAGGAGTGAGGGTGATTTTTCATGAAGCCTGGCTAGGAAGGGGAGCAAAGGGGGAGGTATTAGGTGGAATGGGAGGTGGATTCCACAAGAAATTCCAGTGAGAGATAGTTTTTGTTCTGTTTTTTTGAAGATAGGAGATATGTGAGTCTGTGTCCAAGCTGACTGTGAAGAACCAATACAGAGATGTTTTAGAAATGAGAGTGAGAGAGGGGAGGCTGCTGGATCAGGGGCGTAATCAATAAAAGGAGGTCTCTGAGTACAAGGGTGGAGAGAATGATGCTGAGGTGGGGTGACTGGCCAGGGAAAGGAGGAGGGATGATTCCTCCATGTCCTCCAGCAGGCGGGAAGCGGCCATGGCACTGGGACAGGGAAAGGGCAAAACTACTCTTGAGACAATAGTAGTGTGAAAATAAACCCCCCCTGAAAACTGGACTCTTGACTTCTTTGTTCCAGGCCCAAAGCTGCTGCCAAACTTTGGGGTTCTCAGCAGCACGCCTTACAGACCAGGCCAGAGGCATTGATGCAAGGGCAGAGACAGTACAGGATGTCAGGAGATCAAGTCCTTCCTGAGGACCACGATGACCCCCTGGCTCTGTGGGATGAACAGTGAGCCAAGCGGGAGGCTGGCAGAGACTGAACTCCAAGGTTGAAAATGTTGGTGGAGAGACCATAGCTGCACTCTAAGAGTCCGGGATTTTTCTGCACACAAGGCAGTGGCATGATGCCCTGTCTGTGACCACAGTGCTGCTCAAAACCTTTGTGGCCTTGATTCACTCTGCTTCCCACCCCATCCCTCTCCTGAAATGCTGGGAATGGGTATACTACCTCTCTCCTCTAGCTTCTTGCCACATCAGCCAAATTTGCCCTTGGTGCCCTCTCAACTCCTCTATTCAGCCTTCTCCCCAGGTTTACCTAAATGCCTCAAGCCCTTCCTTTTTAAGAAGCCTCCTTTACCACTCCAGCCCTCACTGTTCCCATCTCCTTGCCTTCTGCAAATACTTGTGTGTACACTGGAATTGGATCTTCTCTCTCTGTCTTTTTTTTTTTTCTTTTTAGAAATGGAGTCTTGCTTTGTGGCCCAGGCTGGAGTGCAGTGGCGCGATCTCAGCTCACTGCAGCCCCCGCCTCCCTGATTGGAGTGATTCTGCTGCCTCAGCCTCCTGAGTAGCTGGGATTACAGGCACTTGCTACTATGCCTGGCTAATTTTTTAATTTTTTTTTTTTTTTGTATTTTTAATAGAGATGGGGTTTTGCCATGTTGGTCAGGCTGGTCTCAAACTTCTGACCTCAAGTGATCCACCCGCCTCAGCTTCCCAAAGTGTTGGGATTACAGGCGTGATCCACTGCACCGGCCTCATGTGTTACTTCACTTTGTGCAAACATCAGACTTTGGTGACAATGAATCCTCAGAGTGCATGGCATAAAACTTAGCATCTAGTAGGAGCATATATGTGTTTATTATTAATATAGTGATTATACCGTGTAGTTGTATATGGTGTTTTTATTCTTTTGCCATAATTTGTCAAGCCCCCAGGTTCTTACCTTGATGACATAGCGCATGTATTGTGGCCGTTTGGATTTGAGGACGATCCCTATGGTGCAAGGAATGAGAACCGGGACCAGTGACAATATGATGCGTCCATAGGGCACCTTGTCCTTCAGGTCCCCATCATAGATCCCCCTGGTGTAGAGGTACAGGAGGAGAGGCATCATGCCAAGGGCACAGAAGGTGGAGCAGGTGGTCATCACAATGCTGGTGGGAGACATGGGAAGAGGGGAGAAAGAGAGCCCATAAATACAGACTATTTTGTTGAGTGCCTGCTAAGTGCCAGTCACTGTGCTAAGTGTTTGACATATGTGACTTCAGTTCCTTTCCCCCATATCATTAGGCAGTAAGCATACTATCTTCTTTTTGCTGACAAGGAAGCTGGGGACTAGAAGAGTTGTGTCCTGCTCGAAATCACACAAGGTAGTACGTGGCCAAGGCAGGATTTGAACTTAGGCTGGTTCAACTGCTTCAATCCCTGTGTGCTTCATTGTGGAAGGAGCCATTCTGATCTTCTCTGTAATAGAACGCTTTTTGCATTGAGCACCTTCCCCATGCCAAGCCCATTTTGTAGAAAGCTAACTGTGTGATCCCATTACTCTGATCATTAGCCCACTGGACCAGGGAATAGCACCTGACCCACAGTTACTAAATGTCCGGTTTAGAGCCTAGGGAATGGCTGGTTGTAGTGGCTTTGTCCAACGGAGACAATAACGATTAGCTATATCAGCACATTTTACCTTGTGGGGAGTCTGAGTGTGAGACACAGTGACAGGGCACTTGGTCTTTGGAGATGGGTGGCATGGGAGTGATGGTCAGGCAGAAGCCAAAAACCCTACTAAGAAAAATCAGTAAACAGATACCATGATTAAAAGGACTGTAAAAGAAATAGTGAAGCAGTAAGAAACAGAATAATTGAAGGGCCATAATGGTGGGGTAGTAGAGAAGGCAGTAATAGATACTCATGTTGAGTAAGTGACAAGATAACTTGGTCAGACTTGCTTTGCATCTTGGATAGTATTCCAGTCCCCAACTCTGGTGTTCTCATGCTCTTTACTTTCTGGTTCCTCCTGATATTATATAAAATAAATTGAGTGTGATACTCAGAGCCTGAATAATATATCCTTCCAGCTCTAATATGTATCCTACTTGTCCAATTTCCTTTTCCATTTGGAATCTTATATATGTTAGTCCCAGGACCCTGTCTAGGGAGAGGCCCTCCGGAAAGGTCAACTGAGAAGGAAGCTGATAGGGCATCTCCTTGGATTTATGGACATTCACATTAAAAATATATGACTCTGACTTTTATTCCAGTGGGAAGGTGGTTGGAAGGTGAGGGCTTGGCAAGACCCTAGGAAAACCACACTCAGTGTGTCCCTCCTCCTCCCCACAGCCCCACCCTCCATCTACACTTCTTTCATTATTTCCATAAAGATGGAATATGGCTTAAATATGCATCAAGAGCAGCCTATATCAAAGGTTCCAGAGCGTAGCTATCAAGAACAATAGGTAGACATGTCATAAGGATAAGAGCTGTTAGAGGTGAGGAGAGTCTCTCAAAGAAAATTGTGAACTAGATAATAGGAACTCCCCAACCCCCATGAACAAATACACACTTGAGCTTGTAAGAAATTAACATTTATTTTAAGTGTGGCATAGTGGCTTATGCTTATAATCCCAGCATTTTGGAGGGCCGAGGAGGGAGGATTGTTTGAAGCCAGGAGTTTGAGACCAGCCTGGGCAACAAAGTAAGACCCCTGTCTCTACATACGAACAAACGAACAAACAGTTTCACTGTATAGAGGGGTTATCGAGGGGAGTGGAGTGTTAGTCTTGGCACTCTTTCATGCCCGAGGGAGGGACCAGAATTGAGGTCTTAGACCTGGGATGGGAGGAGCATTGAAACTGAGCAACCAATAATAAAAGGATCATGGGGTGGGGGGAAGGGAACTTTCTAATTATATCATCAATCAAATATGAAATCATGGTGGAAAAAGTATTTAGAACATAAAAATAGTAAAATACATATTTAAAAAACATGGTGAGGGGACTTGGGATTAGGCAATGGTTTCTTATATATGACGTCTAAAGCACAAACAGCCAAAGAAAAAACAGATGAATCAGACTTTATTAATATTAAAAACTTGTGATTCAAAGGACACCATCAAGAAGTGAAAAGCCAACCAGAGAATGGGAGAAAATATTTGCAAGTCATATATCTGATAAGGGTCTAGTATTCAGAATATATGAAGAACTCTGATAATGCAATAATATAAAAGTAAAAAATGGGCGAAGGATTTGAATGAGATGTTTTCCCAAAGAAGATATACAAATGGCCAATGAGCACATGAAAAGACGCTCAACATCATTACTTATTAGGAAAATGCAAATCAAAACCACTATGAGATACCACTTAATATCTACTAGCATGGCTATAATTAAAAAGATGGACAATAACAAGTGTTGCAGGGTATGTGGAAAATTTGGAATCCTCATACACTGCTGGTGGGAATGTAAAATGGTGCTTTGGAAAATAGTTTGGCAGTTTCTCAAAAATGTAAACAGTCACCGTATAACCCAGCAATTCTACTCTTAGGTATATATTCCAAGGGAACAGAAAGCATGTTCACACAAAAACTTGCCTATGAGCTTCCATAGACATTATTCATACTAGGCAACAAGTAGAAACAACCCATATGTCCATCAGCTGAATGAATGGATGAGCAAAATGTATTATATCCATACAATGGGATATTATTCAATTACAAAAACAAATGAAGTATTGTGACATGCTGTCACATGAATGAACCTTGAAAATATTATGCTAAGTGAAAGAAGTATAGATACAAAAGGTCACATACTGAATGCTTCCATTTATGTGAAATCCATAGAGACAGAAAGTAGATTAGTGGTTGTCAAGGGTTAGAAGGGGAGAGAGAAATGGGGACTCCTGCTAAATGGGATGGAGCTCCTTTTTGGGGTATTGAAAATGTTCTGAAATTAGATAATGGTGATAGTTTCACAGCCTTGGAAATATGCTAAAAACCAAGGCATTGTACTTTTTAAAGAATGGATTTTATGGTATGTGAATTATATCTCAATAAAAAGTAATTTAAAAACCATGCCAGGAGTAAATAAAGCAATTATTAAAGGGCAATTTATAGCCTTACATATTTATATCGAAAAAGAAGAAAGACTGAAAATGAATGAGTTGAGCACCTTACTCGAGAGGTTAGAAAGAGAAAAACCCAATACAAAGAAAAGGAAGAAATTTTTTAAGTTTTGTAAATTGTTAGAGAGGATCAGTAAAACCAAAAGTAGGGTTTTTTTGTTTGTTTTTCTTTTTTTTCTTAAAGGCCAGTTAAATAGACACCTCTGGCAAGACAGACCAGGGCAAAGAGAGATGGCACAAATTGATGATGTTAGTGTGAAAAAGGGAACATAATTACAGAGACAATGAAGATTTTAAAAAGTAATAAAATAAACTACAGACATTTTCATACTTTCATTTTTAACTTAAATGGACAATTTCATGGGAAATATAACCTACAAAACCAAGTCAATATGAAGCCAAAAACCTGATTCAACTTAGAATTATTTAAGACATTTAATAAGCAGTTCAAAACCTATCTTCTAGAACCCCACATGATTTATACTGTCTTACGGTAGTGTTCTACTAAACATGCAAAGTGCAGATTGCTGCAATATTATGCAAATCTATCCAGATAATATAAAAAGTGGAAACATGCCCCCATTTATTGTATAAGGTTGATATGATCTTGGAACTAACGCTGGAGAATGATATGAGAAAAGAAAATTGGGGGCCACTCTTACTTATGAACATAGAAGCAAAAATAATAAAATATTAGCAAATAAATCAAGCAGTGCTTTAAAAAAGTAATACAATTGAACAAGATGAGTAAATGACTTAACATTAGATAATCTATTAATACATACTACTGTATTATTAGATTAAAGAAATGGTATAATTTTGTAGATACAGAAAAGTCATTCAACAAAATTTAATGTTCTTACATAATAAAAATTTAGCATGATTTTGAATGAACGGAATGAAAATTCCTTAACTTGAAAGGAAATCTATTAGAAAATATATTAAACACTAAACTTAATGGTAAAAAGTTAGAGGGACTGGCTTGAGACTGAGGTTTCGCTAAAAGCAAGAGCTTCTGCTAGTGAGTTTTCTTTAGCTTCAGCACAGGCTGCTGGAGCTGGAGCGGGTCTGAAGTAGCTCCTCTGGCAGATATTCAAGACTAGAGTCCCCCCGTTTGCAAGGATGAGCATCAACCAGCCCCTGCATGCTGTGTCTGCAGGAGCGAGCCCTTGCTGATTTCTGCTTATAATGCTTTGGGCAGGGCGTTAGGGGGTGCTGCTGTCTTCCCCTTACCAGGGTGGCTGAGATGGGGCTGGCATATCCTGAGTGGGTGCTGGGAAACGCTGGGCTCTCCCTGGTTGTGCCTTTGCATGGAAATGTCACTGCATCTGATGGGGAATGAGGGACTTTAAAGAGAAAACATCTCAGATGACCAGGTAATTGGGAGGACCTTTTGGAAATTCTTGCCTGCTTTGCAGGAATTTGAGGTGCTCATTTGTTTCCAAGTCACCTTGATCTTCCTGGTGATATTTGGAACAAATCACACTGCCTTTTAAATCTCTGGGCTCAAAGCAGGCAACCTGTCCACTGTTGTAGGTGGATGCAGTTCTCCAGAGGTTCCTTTCGCTTAAATCAATGCTCCTTTAAGACAATCCTTGAGACACCTCTGGAAGCAAGGAGATCACCACGAGCTTCCTGGACCAGTATGGTCCCTTTGGTTTGGTGCTTAAACCAGACATACCCCAACTCCTGCCCCCATCCCAGCATAATCTCTTGGCAATAAATGCCAGCCTCCCCCTGACCTAGCCTCCACCCAGCCTGCATTCACTCCTTCCTGGCTTTAGCCCAGCTCTTCCCCTCAATTGTGACATCTCTAATGTAGCTCCTGTCCCAGGCTGTTCCCTCCTCACCCCCAGGCCTACCTGAGATTCATGTCCCCCTTCATGGCCAGACTGAAGACATTGGACAGGTTCCCTCCAGGTGAGCAGCCACAGACCAGGATGGCCAGCGCCTCAATGTTGTTCAACTGGAAGACCTTGCCCAGCACAAAGGCCGTAAGGGGCATGATGCCATACTGTGCCACCAGGGCGATGGCCAGTCCTTTAGGCTTCCATAAGTGAGCCTTGATCTTGCTGAACTCCATGGTGCAGCCCAGCGAGAGCATAACGAAGAACAACATGAACACCAGGATGATGCTCAGTGCCAGGTCTGTGGGGCGCTTGCCAAAGTTGGGTGGCAGGGTGAAGTTGAAAGGGGCAGATGCGTTGTGGGCCTCCATCCTCCTGTGAGGCAGTGGAAGACCACTCCTTGTTCTCCGGCTGACTCCGTTTCTTGTGCAGTTCTTGCTGGATGCCTTCTTTAATCACCTCTCAGGACAGAGAGTTTCTGGACAAAAGCTCTGGGCAAATAGAAGGGTTATGCAACTAGCTGAGCTATTTCTCTGGCTGTTGCCCCAAAGAGGAACAGCCCAGAACCTTATCTGCCTGCCCTAGCTCTCCCAAGCTCGCTGACCTCTGCTGAATTCCTGGATGCTACTCGTAGTCCTCTCTTGTCACTTTGCTGCTTCTGGGCTTATTTCTCCCCTTTGCCCTCCACTGAGTGTGCCTCATAGGCATTCGGTTCCTGGGGACCTGCCCAGGGCCCACCTGAATCCAGGTCCAGTCCATCTCCTTCCCTGCAGCTCCTGTTCCCAGCTCAGCCCTTGATTCCTTAATTTCTTGGTTGGGGAAAGGCGTCCTCCCTGTGTCCAGTGGGTTATCATTTGTCCCCAGAACCCATGAGAGTGAAAGGAGCTGGGTGTTGCCTTTGGTTCCTGGATATAGGTAGCATAGCCCAAGGGGGTGTGGGACAGGCAAATGTCACTGGCCTCCAGGAGGGGATGTGTCCATGACCCTTTTCCTGGGAGCTGAGAGGATGCCAGTGTCCTCCCTGGCATCCTCCCAGGGAAACTTTTGTCTTATCCCCAAACTGGGACTGTATGAGTCCCAGGGAGGAATACTGGTGGTGGCTGCTCCACACTCCCTGGAATGCTTACCGTCAGAGGGAATAACCAGCTGGGATGGTGGGTGGGCTCTCAGGAAGCTTGGAGGCTCTTTCCCCAAAGAGCATCCTGAGGGAACCCTGGCCGTGGAGATTGCTTTGTGCCCGAGGAGGCCCACTGCTTGGGAAACTTGCTGAGAAGGAAGCAGGAATGCAGTCTTTTCTCCCTGACTTCCTGACTGCTTTACTTTTGCACTGGGCCTGTGTGTTTCAGGCTGGGAGACAGGCTTGGGGTGTGCAGCAGCAGCAGAGAGAGGTGGGCATGCCAGGGGCAGGGCCACCTAGTGTGTGAGGTTATCCTAAGCCTTGCTCTTTCCATCTATCCCCACTGCAGAGGTGGGACAAGGGAGGGGTCTCCTTCAGAAACACAATTGCCTCTTGGCTTGGTTGGAACCCAGGAGGCCTGGGTGGGGTCTGAAACAGGTGATTAGGCTTTGTATGTAGGACTCCAGAGGGCAGAATAGGGACTAGGGTGTGAATCACTGTTGGGTGGATGTGGGGACAGATTTTGGCTTAGTGCAAGGAACTACCTGAAAATGAGAGCTCTCCAAGGATGGCCTTGAGGTCTCTGGAATCCTGCTTGGATGGGTTGGATGGCAGGATCCATACATATTGCATCGTATCCAAGAAAAGGCTGCTCCCTGGGCTTGCGTGGTGGACAGCTTGCAGGGCCGTATACTGTGGCCCTGGGTGACATGAACTTGAAGCCCCTTTTCCTTTGAGAGTCTCTGCTAATGATTTTCAGGTGCTTGAGTTGGGCTGGTATCAAAGGGAGGGCAGGCAGAGGACTGGGCACTGGATGTGATGCCTGGACTGAGTGTTCCCACAGGGTAGGGTTGAGTCTCAAAGGAGTCTGCTTCCTCTCTCTGGGGCTAATCAGAAGGGAACAGAGTTGCTAGGGGAGAAATATTGGTCACTAACTGAGTACCAGTCACCATGGGAGGCAAAAAAAAACAACAAACCAAAAACCAAAAATGATATAATTCATGTTCCTGTTCTCAGGGACCTGATGGTCTGTATAAGACCACAGGTAGCCAGATGGTACACAATGCAATATGGAAGCTCGTGAGGGTGGAGGCCATGCAGGGCTGCCAAGTACACCTGTTCAGGTTGGGCACTGCACAATGCCAGGGACGCCACTCTACAGATGTCTTGTGCAACCGTACATGAGGCCTTAAAGTCAAAGGAAGAAGTTAGCTTTTTACACAGTTGCCTGATGCCAAAGGGTGACGAGGAATTGACCAATATCTGTTAAAGAGTAGGGTCTGGGCATGTGTCTATTGATCCGATTGTGCACATCCAAAGGGAAGAGTTCCCATGAACACATTCATAACCTGGATTCTAAATCATGTAGTCTCTATCAACTCTCCCTCCTCACCTCTTCTCAGAAACCCCAAATCCTTCCACCTCCTACTGTGAATTTTTCTCTTTGAGAAAACACAGTTTCTTGCCCTGGCTACTCCTCCTCCCACTCCTCCCCATTCGCTCTGTTCCTAGCAATGTGCCTTTGCAGAGAATGGAAAAATCTTTTCTAGGAACCTGACACCCTCCATTCTTTTCCCCATCTCCCCTCTGAATCTACTCTAATTTCATACAATTTTGGGGACAGGAAGATCTTTTGGTATTATGTTAATGATACCTGGGAGTTGCTGGGCACATGCTGTGTGAGGGATGCTGTGATTTAAATCACATTTCTTTTTAACTTGTATTTTAGATTTAGGGGTACATGTACAGGTTTGTTGTTACAGGCCAACTTGTGTTATGGGGGTTTGGTGCATGAACCACTTTGTCACCCAGGTACTAAGCATAGTACCTGATAGTTCTTTTTTTTTTTTTTTTTTTTTTTGAGACGGAGTCTCGCTCTGTCACCCAGGCTGGAGTGCAGTGGCCGGATCTCACCTCACTGCAAGCTCCGCCTCCCGGGTTTACGCCATTCTCCTGCCTCAGCCTCCCGAGTAGCTGGGACTACAGGCGCCTGCCACCTCGCCCGGCAAAGTTTTTGTATTTTTAGTAGAGACGGAGTTTCACTGTGTTAGCCAGAATGGTCTCGATCTCCTGACCTCGTGATCCGCCCGTCTCGGCCTCCCAAAGTGCTGGGATTACAGGCTTGAGCCACCGCGCCCGGCCTGTACCTGATAGTTCTGATAGTTATTTTTCCTGATTCTCTCCCTTTTTCCACCCTCCTCCCTCAAGTAGGCCCCAGTGTCTGTTGTTCCCTCTTCGTGCCCATTAGTTCTCATTATTTAGCTCCCACTTATCAGTGGGAACATGCAGTATTTGGTTTTCTGTTCCTGCATTAGCTTGCTAAGAATATTGGCCTCCAGCTCCATCTATGTTCCTGCAGAGAACATGATCTCATTCTTGTTTATGGCTGCATAGATTCCATGGTGTATATGTACCACATTTTCTGTATCCAGCCTACTGTTGATGGGCATTTAGGTTGATTCTATGTCTTTGCTATTGTGAATAGTGCTGCAGTGAACATACGTGTGTATGTGTCTTTATGGCAGAATGACTTATATTCCTTTGGGTATATACCCAGTAAGGAGATTGCTGAGTTGAATGGTAGTTCTGTTTTTAGTTCTTTGAGAAATTACCACACTATTTTCCACAATGGTTTAACTAATTTATACTTCCACCAGCAGTGTATAAGTGTTCCCTTTACCTTGAATGTAAATGGGCTAAATGCCCCAAGTAAAAGGCACAGAGTGGCAAGCTGGATAAAGAAGCAAGGCCGAACAGCATGCTGTCTTCAAGAGACCCATTTAACATGCAATGGCACCCATAGGCTTAAAATAAAGGGATGGAGAAAAATCTACCAAGCAAATGGAAATCAGAAAAAAGCAGGGGTTGCAGTCCTAATTTTAGACAAAGCAGACTGTAAGCCAACAAAGATGAAAACAGACAAAGAAGGGCATGACATCATGGCAAAGAGTTCAAATCAACAAAAAGGCCTAACTATACTAAACATAGATGCACCAAACACAGGAGTACCCAGATTCATAAAGCAAGTTCTTTTTAAAATTAAATCTTAGAAATTTATTTTTTATAATTCTGGAGGCTGGAAAGTCTAAGATCAAGGTGCTGGCAGATTCAGTGACTGATGAGGGCTGCTCTCTGCAAATAATGCCTTGTTGCTGCATCCTCCAGAGGGGATGAATGCATAAAGCAAGTTCTGAGAGACCCATGAAAAGACTTAAGACTCCCACACAATAACAGAGGGAGACTTCAACACCCCACTGACAGTATTAGACAGATCGCCAAAGCAAGACGAATCAAAAGCAAAGATACTCAGGACCTGAACCCAACACTTGACTGAATGGACCTAGTAGACATCTATAGAACTCTCCACCCACCAAAAAAAAAAAATTATGCCAATCACACTCTTGGACAACAATGCAAGAAAAATAGAATTGAATACAAAGAAAATTGCTCAAAACCATACATTTACATGGAAATTGAACAACCTCCTCCTGAATGACTTTTGGGCAAATAATTAAATTAAGGGAGAAATCAAGAAGTTATTTGAAACTAATGAGAACAAAGATACAACGTACCAGAATCTCTGGGACACAGCGAAGGCAGTGTTAAGAGGGAAATTTATAGCACTAAATGCCCACATTTCTTATTTAGTCTTCATAATAGCCTTATGAGATATGATGCTATTTCTATCCTTATTTTATAGGTTAGGAAAAGGCTTAGAGTGGTTAAATAATCTGCCCAATTCACGTGGCTAGTGAGTGGTACGATTGGTATTCACACCCAGCCTGATTCCGCGCCCCAGCTGCTCTTCTGACCTGCTCCTTCTTTTGCCTCATCCTATCTCCCGAGTTAACCTGCTTTTGGAGACCTGAAAGCTTTGACTGGAAAAGCTCCTGTGATTGCTTATTTTTTCCAAACTGGCCTAGACTCGTTCTTTCACAGGCTGTACCAAGCAACACAACAAACATAACATCCAAACAATCATGGGGGTAGTGGTGGCTGAGTAAATTTACTTAAGGGACATTTTTATGTCACTTCTGGCAAAAGTGAGCTGTTTTCCCAGATTCTGAAGTGGCATAAAAAGCCTTCAATCAGCCATTGCTCTTGACACCAGAATTCTACTTGTAGAAAATTATCCTATAGAAATAATTGCTTGAGGATCTATGTAAAGAGATTTTCACTGCAGTATTGCTTTGTAATAGTGAACTATTGGAAATAACCTAAGTATCTATTAATAGGTGATTGGTTATGGCCCATTTAAAAGAATGTAGCCATTAAAAAAATATGGTCATGACTTATGGTATAAATGTGGCTGTAGAGGCTGGACATGGTGGCTCATGCCTGTAATCCCAGCACTTTGGGAGGCTGAGGCAGGAGGATTGCTTGAGTCCAGGAGTTCCAGACCAGCCT